CTACGCGTGGTTTTTCTGTTTTGGTGTGCAGGAAATATGAACTTCAGCCGTGCTTTCCCCTATTCGCACACTCAACCTTGGGGTTACAAGCCGAGCTATTCCACCAGGGATCACTACCAGCCATATTCATACCCTTCTGAGCAGTGCTGGATCCTTACACAGTCGAGCAAACTTATGAGTCCCACAAGTTTGACAAGAAGCTCGACCAGATTCTTGATTTCATAGAGTCCAAATCAGCTCTAGAAGAAGAGGCCGCCTACAATGCCAAACTCGATCTCATCCTAGATCGATTGATGGCCCAAGCAAAATGAGAGGAGAAGATGGAGCTCAGTTGTGCCCGTTTGAGTGAGCAAGTGAAGAATCTATCAAGGTGCATCGACTCTATCGAGTCCCAGGCCGATGAGCCCAAGGTTGTGGACCCCCATCTGGCACCCTTGCACTTCTATGAGCTAGGGGATGACTTTTCAGGCTACAATGCCAAGCTTGACCTTATCCTCGATTGGATGATGGCCCGAGCAAACCGAAAAGGAGAGATTGAGCTCGGATGTGCTCGACTGAGCACACAAATGGATAGCCTCACTGCACGACTCGACTCTATAGAGGCATAAGTCAATGAACCCCACCTCATGCTTGATACTCAAGCGCGCACGATGAAGCAAATGTGTGAGGCTGAAGAAGATGACGATGACTCCCAGCAAGACATTGATGATAATTCAGAGGAGGAGATCCATGGGCTTGATTCTCAAGTCCAACCTCCCACCTCCGAGTTAGAGCACCCGCTTCGAGGCCCTTACACTGTGTTACAAAGTTGGGAGGATTCAGTTCGACTTGCTCCACTGATGAGCTTATTTTTTTAGAGGTTCACGATAGAGCTCGAGTGAGAAAAGCACTGCGTCTAGAGTTGGGGATTGCTCGTGCTCGAACCCACTTCATCCAGAACATCGCCACCCAAATCCACTGTGCCAGCCTTCTCGCCAAGCTTCCCATGCTACCACTTCTGGAAAACACAAAGGCATGGCATGACCGTCACTTATTCTTAGATCCCGGTTGAGTTCCCCTCAGGTTTCGTCAAGCTAATGACGTTAAACAAGTGCTTCATGGAAGCAAACCTAAGTGATTTACTGCTTTCGTAGATATTTTCTTTTATGATATTTAGTTTTATTCTTTGAATAATGGATGTTTTGGAGTTCTGTGTTTTTCTTGGTAGGTATGAGATTATGAGCTAGAGTAGGAGATTTGCGTTGAATGAGGAGTATCGAGGATATGAGCAGAGCATAGGAGATCGGCTTGCACGTGTAGTTGTTCTCCCGAGGCGTTTTCGGTTTGCACACCCTTTTCCCTTTTTATTTTAGTTTGTTTTCTCCTTCTCTCCTTTCTTTAGAGTCCTGTGGTACTTGCTGGTGCTGGTTTGTTATCATGTTTCACTATATGTCCCGAGTCATGCACGTATTTCTTCAACATTGATACATGAAATACATCATGCACACCCGAGAGATCTGGAGGTAACGCCAAGCGGTATGCTACTTCACCAATTCTTTTGAGTATTTCGAATGGGCCAATAAACCTTGGTCGTAGCCTCCCTTTCTTCCCAAATCGAACCACTCCTTTCATTGGTTTGACTTTCAAGAATACTTTATCACCCTTCTCAAACTGTAAATCTCTTCTACTTTTGTCAGCATAGGACTTCTGCCGGTCTTGAGCTGCCTTAATCTTCTCACGATTTTCAGCTACTTTCTCAATTGTTTCCTTGATCATCTTTAGACTGAGTACTCTTCTTTTGCCCACTTCATCCCAGTAAAGTGGCGATCTACACTTTCTCCCATACAAAGCCTCGTACGGTGCCATCTTGATACTTGCCTGATAACTATTATTATAGGAAAATTCCACCAATGGTAATAGTTCTTCCCATGTACTACCATGATCTAAAACACATGCTCTTAACATATCTTCAAGAGTTTGAATCGTTCTTTCAGACTGTCCATTTGTCTGTGGATGGTAAGCTGAACTGAACTTCAAACTTGTATCCATAGCTTCATTCAGAGTCTCCCTGAACCTAGAAGTAAATCTGGGATCTCGATCAGATATGATCGCTATTGGCACTCCATTGAATTTCACCACTCCATTTATATAAATTCTTTCGAACTGCTCCATGGTCATTGTCATCCTTACTAGAAAAAACCTGGCCGCTTTTGTCAGTTGATCCACAACTACCCAAACTGCATCATGATTCTCCTTTGATCTAGGTAATCCCTTAACAAAATCCATATTAATTTATTCCCACTTCCACGCGGGAATATCCAATGGTTGTAGAAAACCTGGTGGACGTTTATACTCAGCTTTGACTTGTTGACAAACTAAGCATTTATCCACAAAATCAGCTATACTCTTCTTCATACCCATCTACCAAAATAACTTTTTCAAGTCATGATACATTTTTGTGCTACCTGGATGAGCCAAATATGGTGCACTATGTGCCCCTCTCAAAATCTCATTTCTCAAGGATTCTACTTTTGGCACTATAATTCTCCCTTTGTACTCTAGTGCTCTATCTGTTTCTCTGTGAAACCTTCAATTCCACTAGTTTGAACTTTCGCCTCCAGCAAATGGACAAACCCATCACTAGACTGCTCCTTCCGATTTCTATTTCTCAACATAGATTGCATCCTCATTGTTCTAATACTTCATTTTCTTTCAACGCAAGCTTCCACCAGTTCTATTTACATTTTTGCGTAATCTCTTACCAGTTGATCCTGTTGAGTGATCATACAATACAACTGGCCTTCTCCTTTTCGACTGAGCGCATCTGCAACTACATTGGCCTTCCTTGGATGATAGTTGATTGTACATTCATAATCCTTCACTAGTTCCAACTCTAAATCCTGAGTTGGATAATTATGCTCATGTGGCATCAGTTGTCGCGAAGCATATGCCACCACTTTTCCATCTTGCATCAGCACACATCCCAGACCCTATTTCGAGGCATCACTATAAATAGTGAAATCTTGAGTAGGACCTAGTATCATCAGTACTGGAGTTTTTTATCAGCTTCTTCTTCACATTTATCACTCCATTCAAACATCACCAATTTCTTTGTCAACTGTGTCAAAGGTAGGGCTATTTTAGAAAACCCTTCGATGAATCTTCTACAATATCCAGCTAGTCCAAGAAAACTCCTTATCTAACTGGAATTCTTTGGTCTTGACCAATTTCTCACAGCTGCGATCTTTCCTAGATCAACTTCTATACCTTCATCTGTGACAATGTGGCCACGAAACGCCACTTTTTTCAACCAAAATTCCCACTTAGAGAATTTAGCATATAGCTTCTCTCTTCTAAGTTTCTGCAGAACAACACGTAAATGCTCTTCATGTTGTTCCTCACTCTTAGAATAGACCAATATATAATCAATAAAAACGATAACGAACTGATCTAAATATGGTTGAAATACCCAATTCATGAGATCCATGAATACTGCAAGTTCATTACCTACTCCAAACGAAATCACTAAAAACTCATAGTGACCGTATCTCGTCCTAAATGCAGTCTTAGGTACGTCAGTCTTCTTTATTTTCAACTAATGGTAAGCAACATAAATCTATCTTTGAAAATACTCTGTCACCTCTTAATTGATCAAATAAATCATCTATCCTAGGAAGCAAATACTTATTATTTACTATTAACTGGTTCAACTCCCGGTAATCAATGCACATACGCATTGACCCATCCTTCTTCTTGACAAATAGGACAGGTGCTTCCCAAGGTGAAACGCTGGGTTGAATGAATCCCAGTTTGAACAACTCTTGAATTTGAACTTTTAATTCTTGCAGCTCCTTTGGCGCCATTCTATATGGTTCTCTAGATACTGGTACTGCAACAAGAACCAGATCAATGGTGAAATCCACCAGTCTGTCAGGTGGTCCTCCCGGTAATTGTTCCGGAAAAACAACCACAAATTCCTTTACTACAGGGATACTTTCAGGTTTCTTCTTTTCCGAATTCTCTTCAACTAAGCTCACCAGATAACCCTGGCAATCATTTCTTCGCAAAAACTTGGTTTTATTTGCCATAGATATCACACGTGGTAACGTCCTTGACTTAGCCCCAAAGAACGTGATGTGATTATACTCATCTAATTTGAGGGTCACTTCTTTATCACGACATCGAATATCTGCGTGATATCTATCCAAGCAATCTATACCAAGTATGAGGTCAAAATCCCTCATCTCAATTACATAAGCATTGGCTTCTAGAATGTTTCTTCCAATACTTATTTAAAGATTCTTTACTATGGAGTTAGTAACAATTTTCCTTCCTGAGGCTAAACGGATCTCAAGAGGATAACCTGTACTCACTCCTTTAGCTTTTACTGCTTCTACACATTTATCTGAGATAAATGAATGAGTTGCTCCAGTATCAAATAATGCAAAAACTGGTACATTATTCAATTTTAATATCCTAAACATAGTACTTGGGCGTTCTTCCACTTCTGCTTGATTAAGAGCATGCACATTTTCCTGCCTTGCCTGTGGCTGATTGTTTTGAGCCTGTTGTTGTTGGCCTTGTTGATTCTGCCTTTTATCTAGACAGTAACGTGCATTGTGGCCTGGCCTTCTATAATTGTAACAAATGTCATGACCAGCTAAACATTCTTCTCTATGTGGTTTTCCACAAGTACCGCAGTTCGGCACCTGTTGTGATTGTTGACCCGCATGTCCATGGCCAATAGGGCGGTTTCTTATTTCATTCTGATGAGCCCTCCATTTTCTCTTGTTCTTAGCATTTGCCTGTTGATTAGGTATTTGCTGCACTAGTGGCTGAGCTAGTGGATTAACAGTTGTCTTAAGAACTCGTCGAGACTTCTGCTTTATACTAGCATCAATTTGTTGAGCTCTTGAAATAGTCTCAACATAGGACAACTCTCCATGTCCTGCAAGATTGTTGTGGATGACATCTCTTAATCCGTCCTTGAACCGTCTTGCTCCTTTTTCATCCGTATCCACAAGATATGATACGAAGAATGCTAAGCGAGTAAATTCTCTCTCATATTCATCGACACTTCTTTCTTCTTGCTCCAAGTCTAGGAACTCCCGTTCCATCTGAGCTCTATAGTAAGCAGGATAGTACTTCTCTTTCACTATCTGCTTAAAACCAGACCAAGTTAAAGCATGTTTTTCTTCCACTATTCTCATCTGCCAATATGAGAACGACCATAACCCAACATCCCCAGTCATCTGTAACTAGGCACATTGGATCCTCTCCTTCTCAGTGTAGTTCATAGCCTCGAATAACTGTTCAAGACTACGAATCCATTCTTCTTCATTTCTAGGGTCTCATTGTCCGGTGAACGTGGCTGGCTGTAACCCAAGAAACTGAGCAAGAACATTCACCGGGTTCTGAGATGGCATAGCTGTAGCATTCCGAGCTCTTCTAGTTGCCATTTGACTGGCCATCATAAACTTGATTAGAAAAGAATTTGAGTAGCATGTCTGATGCATGATTCTTTACTAATTTCCTTGATAAGTAACTAAACTCATTTTATCTCAACTAGAGTTCTGTCTGGAGTTCTGAATTCTGAAAGGAGGATAGAACTAAGCCACGTATCTAATCATGATATCTGATTGTCAATTTTTCTGAAAACATAACTTAAGCACTTACCTTGGAGTCAGAGTATGCGTGAGCGTGGGGTTAATCGTATCTTTGTGAAATTATCTTTCTGAAACTTAAACTTTTAGTATGTAGAGCCTTTAACTTTTTCTCTGATACCATTTTGTAATACCCCGCTTTACTTTACGAATTATCTTTAAAAATCAGAGTTAAATATTCGTTTCATTTCAAAAGTACTGCCTTTTTCGAAAATACTTATCTTTATCTCGGGATGATACCATGTCTGAAAACTGCTTTATTATACCATAAGGTATAAAAACTCCTGGATGTGGTCTTTATAGTAAATATCTGAGTTACTACACATGCATAAATTCATAAATAACTTTTTTGAAAAACACAGCGGAATTAAAAATATTGTTTTGAAAACATATTCAAGCTTTGTACATAAAACTTTATTCTTCAACTTATTCTGCAAACTGTGACAGAACAACGATCGATCAACCACCATTCCTCATGCTCCACGCCGCTCAGCATGACCTGGGGAAAGATTGGTTGTGGGGGAGTTAACACAAATATATCAACCACGGTGCTACTCTTAAACCAACACTGAATAAACAACACATCTAAAAAGAAATCATGAAATTTATATATATATATATATATATATATATATATATATATATGAACTGAAACTGATCATTACTGCCGGGCTCTGTGGCTGGTATTCTTAACTCTCGGTCTCTGAGGCCGGTAATCGTATGCATACTCTGATTTAAGCCATCGGGGCTTAATCAGAACCTGGATGGGATATTAAGGACTCTGTGGCCTCCACCCAAGCGATAAATGGGACCTCACCTTTGTAGGTCATCACACTATGGGAAACTCATACATACATACCTCATACATGATAAGTGATTAGAATAAATGAAATACCCATTACTTGGTCCCCACCTATTACTCTTGAATCTTTGCAAGTGTTTTTTGTCTGATAGTTGTCAGACACTGGCCTCCTTCAAGCTACATAAAATTTAAGAAACTATCTTGATTCTCTACTTAAACATACTCTATTGAACTTTCTTGGCTCGGAAAATACTCAAACTTCCGATTTATCTGTTCCATATATATTGTACCAAAATACTTAACTCTTTCTCAACTTCTTTTTATTTGCCAAAAATATCTTATTTTATACCATACTCTTTGATATAAAATAATTAGCAAATACTATCATTCCATAAAAATTTCATATCAAAACAATAACCGAGAGCTCAGATATCACCATTTAAAATTTTAGCTAGGACATGAAGCATTCGAACTCGATTGCACCATAAACTTCAAAAATTCAAATCTCAGGCTACGCACATCCAAATGACCTCAAACTTGAGTGAAAAACTCACAACTTACACAAGTTTTGACCATAAAAATTTCTAATTAGCAGGTTATCCATAGATAGGGACATTCAAGTTCACAAGTTATCAATACTACCCAGAATTCACTTCGGGCAGCACCTTAATTAATGATTTTTATAAAATCATCATAAAAAATTTGAAATTTTACAGTATTATCCTCAACATTATCTTAAATCATCATAAAAAATTTCATATTTTTCTTGACACAGTATGCAAGGCAAAAATCGAATCTAACTTGTTGTAGTAACATGAACTCGAAAATTCCCAACTTAACAATCCCATGCCTAATTCCCATGTAATCAAAGACTATCTCAAACCTCCAATATAACACATAAAGCACATATAAAAACTTATAATCCTCAGCTAAATGTGAAGTAAAAGGGCTTTGAGAATTACCTTTAAAAAAATTCCAAAACTAAAGCAAATGAGAGCTCGATTTAAGCTATCTTCTCGTGGAACTTACTCGATTCTCAATATTTCTTTTTTCTTCTTATATTTTCTTCTCTTTTTGCATGGTATAATCTTCTCATGGATAAATGCTCCTTTTATAGTTGATTTTAGGGGACAACTTTCACCATCTTTTGATAAAAATATCAAATTATGGTCCCATCACAACTAATATTCTCAACCAATTCATAAAACAATTTGATCAACTCTTACTCTTGATTCACCTCTTCATATGGACAGATTTCATGCTTTGTTTCAGCTAGAAATTTGCATATTATATAATGTCTTTACAACTCATAACTTAGGTGACCAAATATGCTCAAACTAATGTAGATTCCACCATAAAAACAAAATCCTCAAGTCAACTTTTGTCTCCAAACACTTAGCATCTTAACTCGTGGTTTTTCCTCTTAAAATATTGCTTCTTACGAGTTATCTTGGAACATGCTAAGAAACTGAGAATAACAAAATTTACCGAACTCAATTCGGACTTAAAACGAACGTTTACCGTAAAACCGAAAATTCTAAGCATTTCGGATTCTATCTAAATAATTCAAATTGATTAAAATGACTAAATAAATTTTCTCACTTCTTCGAACATTTTTAACTTAAATGTTCACAGATACTTAACCGTACTCGAGACCTAACTTGTCTTGACTTTTCTCGAGGTCTTGTTTCTCAAGAATATTAGTCTCTATTCTTGCCTCATCTCATTATCATTTTTCTTATCTCATTCAAACTAGGAATTGCCAAGTTCACAGCCATTTAGCTAAATAAATTGGACCGTTATTTGATTGAAATTATCTTAAATAATTTATTATCTGAAAACTATTGATGATTATTTACTGACTTATTGTATATAGTTATATGGGATATGACAATATATATATATATATATATATATATATATATATATATAGAGAGAGAGAGA